CTGCCGGCGCCTGCTGCCGCCGCTGCTTCAGGCTGATGTTCTGCAGAATGCTACGCTCCAGAGACGATAGTGCCTCCTGCAGGTCAGTACTGCTAACGTATCGTTGCGTCAACCACTGAAGAAGTGACTCTGGAAGCGCGTCAGAGTCAGCGCCACCTGTCGTCATCAGCTGGTTGCCGTAGACCATAGCCCGGACCTCCTCACGGACCTGAGTGGAAACCTGCACAGAGGTGATTAATACTGCGTCAAAGTCAAGGTCAACTTGTTGTCAAATTAACTGTGTGTGTGTGTGTGTGTGTGTGTGTGTGTGGTCTCTTACCGTTTGCTGTATGTCCTCAGGTGGTCCACAGTTGTCTTTGGACTCTGACAGAACCTCAATACTTCGCTTGACATCCTCCAGAACCACCTCCAGCCTTGCTACCTCTGCTAGCAAAGCATCATGGGACTGACGCTCCACATAGACACTGGAAGCAAAAGAATGATTGGGGGGGGACAAAGACTGGTGATGGCAAATATTACATTACTGCTCATGTTACCTAGCAGCGGAAGGTGGAGGAGGGTCCAGATCAGGTGACGGAGGAGAGTGTGATCTCTGAAGCTGCTGCGGTTCCAAAACACAAACAAACCTTAATTTCTGCTTTTCTGTCTCCAGAACACGTCATTAACCTCACCTTACCTCCGTGTTAACTGCTAACGTCTGCAGTTGGCGCTCCAGCTCATTAAGACGTGAAGCTGCTCGTCTCTGCTCCACCTGTGATAACCATCAGAAGATGAACCCACTGCAGAACTAACATTTTAAGACAACATCAGGTGATGGGCTCCAGGTCAGATCCTCATACCACTTTCTCTTGGTCCAGTTTTCTCTTGACCTGGGTCAGCTGATGGTCCAGGACCCTACTAATCCACGGCCCAGGCTCCTCCCCCTTTCTGCTGTTCCCAGCAACAGTCAACTGCTGCTGGAGATCAGCATACAGCTGTAGAACCTCTCCGTGTCTCTGCTCCGCCCACCTGGCTTCAGTCTCCACCCGCTCCCACATGGCTGTCAGCCGCTGCTCCAGACCGACCCACTGCTCCAAGGAGTCCTGAGACGAACGTTCTTGACTTCTGGACTCCTCCACCTCCTCCTCTGATGATGGTGGACTGGATGGTGGTAGCTCCTCCTTAGCGCCCTCTGCATGTTGGTGTTGTGAGGACACAAAGCTGAGGGCTGTGGACGGAGCAGGGACAGCAGAGACTGCAGGAGTCTCTTCACCTGGGACATTTGACGTGTCAAAGACAGAGCGGAGAAGACCAGGACTGAACCAGACCAGACCTGTAGACCAGGGGAAAGAAGAGTGTTCTTGATAAAATATGGAAAAAAAAAATATTCTCATGATCAGTTGTAAAGAGACTCACTGAGGAGGAGCAGAGGGAGGAGGACGGTCAAGAAGTGGAGAGAAACCCTGAAAACCAGCAACAAGAACAAAAACTTCAAACCATCACTGCTGTAAGACCAGGGTCAGTAGAACAGTCCTCCACCAGACCACACTCACCCAGAGTGGAGGGGGGAGGAGTCACGCTTTGTCATGTGATGCCACTGACCGCCAAGCCACTTGAATGCCTCACCAGCTTTTTTACCTGAGGAGAGATGGTCATGTGATCGATCAGCTTTAGGATGTCTGACACAAGGAAACAGGACGAAACAAGAGTCAGTGAACGCTGCACAACTGACAGAGACAAAGACAAGATGAGAGGAAAAAACACACCACCATCCTTTTCCAACCAACAGTTGGCAGACCAAAAGCAGTACGAGATCACTTTTCTTCATGTAACACGTTAACAGATTTCAGCTGCTGTTAATGTTTGACTTTTATTTAAGGTAAGAATCATCTAAAACCAATACTGATCAACACCCATGATTTTTTACACATTTAATTTAATGTGAACATTAGGCAGATTACCAAATATTTTTCATTTATATTCTGAATTTTGCTTTTCCAAAGGATTATTTGTATTTTGTCGTGTCCAGTAGGGGGCACTGTGGCTCTTCTGGGGACATTAAAATTAATTTCATTTAACAATCAGTCATCGGTGTGGTGGAGGAGGAGGCAGAGAGCAGAAAAGTTGGGGGTGGCCATGTACAGAAGACAAGCACTAAACTACTGATCAGTGCACCGTCATTAACCTGCAGAGCACGTGGCGCTCCAGAAACAAGAGATTTTCTTTATCTGAGGCCAAACAGCTGCAGCTGATGTCAGAGTCAGCTGACACAAACAGGAAGCTGAGGAACACAAAAAAAAACAAACAAAAAAAAAAAAAAACGTGACTGGTGGTTCAGTTGTGTAATATTTGACTTTTAGCCCGTTATCAACTATTCAATTTCAGCATCTGTTAGCCAAACGTGTTACTAGCTGTAATTAAATAGGAGCTCAAATGTTAGACCTGTACAAACAGCTGCTCTCCATGTCAGGACCAACACAAAGACCAGCACTGACCAGCAGGAGGAGCTCACAGAGGTACAAGGCCTGGTCTCTGTTTCTGTCACCAAGTGCTGCTTCCTACAGTCCTCACCTGTAGGTGGCAACAGAGAGTCCAAGGTACAATCCAGAGGCTGGTTGACCAAAGTAAATAAATCAGAACAAAGACTCACACTGTGAACCGTCAGCCTGAGGCTCTGTCAGGTTGGTGGGTGAGGTCTTCATGGTCCTGCTGGCCGCAGGTGGCGCTGCAACAGAGAGAAAAATAATTTAGACACTCACCAGAAGAGGAGACATCAGGACCGAGTCTGACACAGAACTATATCCAGACACAAGTGGTCGGAGTCGTACAGCTGACCTCCTGCTGCTGAAGGACATTTGCATTTTGTCAAGGAAACAGTCAAAACGTCTGTGGAACATTTGTTTGGAGAAAACAAATCTGTGGAACAGGTAAACATCCAGCATGGAATTCCTGTGGGTGGGACTAACTTTTGTTTTAATGGATTGGCAATGTGGGAAGGGACCACTAGGAGGCAGAAGTGGGGGCTGTCAGAAAGTGTTTGGATCTGGGAGGAAAGTCCTTGCAGTTAGAGGAGGTGAACACCAGGTGGCTCCCTGACACACCCCGACACCAGTGAGTTACAGTGGAACCTTCCAGACTCCTCAGAGTCTTTACCTGTGCGTTGGTTTGTGGTAAAACACTGTCGACACAGCTGCCAGGTGTGTGTGAGAGCAGAGAGGCTCCAGACAGCTGCTCTGACCACACACTGCTGCAGAACATCTGCAAGAACCACAGCACAACCACCAGTCAGACGGAACCTGCCCTGTAACCTGTGACCTACAGGTCAGTGACTGAGCAGGCGTCAGCTCAGCAGGACCCGGCCCTCTGTTTTTGATAGAAAAGTGTTTGTGTTCAGTTGGTTTTTTAAAACTAAATAAATAAATAAAACTGTTTATTAATGGCTACATTTCTGAAGCTAAGTTATTATGTGTATTTATAACTAGCTTGGACATTCCTGTCTGTACTGTGGCAGTGTTGAGATTAAGTTGAAGTAGGCCACTATAAAGAACAACATATCCCACAATTCACCACAAAACCCAGTGGACATCCACTGGTCACTACCCAAGCAATATATCCTATCATGCATTGCTGTTGCAACAATATGGCAGAGAGAGAGAGAGAGGAACAGTCTCCATCCATCCATTTTAATTGAACAACAGTAATGACTGAATTAACAGCGTGCCAAAGTAGTGTCTGGAACTGTTTTTCATTGAACTGATGATTCACTATATAGTGCACTATTTATAATCCCCTACAGAGGGAGCAGGGAAGGAGTAACTGATTTTGGACACATCCTGTGCCTTTTTAATAGCCCAACCATTTGCAGGTTTTACTGCCCATTATGCCACCTACTGCCTGAAAGTTTGTCACTTTTTTAAAAAACTTAGAAAAATGAATGAATATATATATATATATATAAATATAAAATAACCATCTTAAAAGGTCATCTACCAGTGACAGCTTGGCGTGACATAACACCTGCACCTACCTCCCACTAGGAGGTGCAGATTCCTGCTAGAGACATGGTGGACATCAACCACAGAGTTGACCAGTAACAGTGTGTAGATTCCTACAGCCCACAGTCCTCTCACCTGTCCTCGTCCTGCGTCTCTGGTTTGGACAGTAGAAGATTTCTGGTTCTGAACTGGTCAGGGTGGCAGCAGAGACGGCAGAAGTAGAAGAAGCAGCAGCAGCGCGTTTAACGGTGGAGTTGGGGGACTCCTGCTGATAGTCTTCACACTGAAGCCTGCTCAGGACCTGGTGACTCGGCCCGTGACCCTGTGACCCTATGAGAGTGCTGTTGGCCACCGTGGGGCCCTGCTCGATGATGGTGCTCTCTGTGACAACAGACCAAGTTTATGTAGAAGGATTTCAGGGCACTGATCAAACAAACTGCCCTCAGTGGAGACTGACCTTTAGGATCCAGGTCCTGGTCTAGACCTGGGTGTGGAGACAAAAAGCAGACAAACTGAGTCCAACACAGTCAGTGATGACAGTAAATTCAGAGAGTTCTGCTTCAGTTTTTACCCCAGACTGTGTCCACCAGTGTCACATCCTGGACTGAGGACTCGTCCAGCAGCGAGGACAGCAGGGAGGCGTCCGATGCCACACTGTGGACACTGTTGTCCAGCAAGCTCCTGGACTTTTTGCTAGCGAGAGGAGACGGAGCATTAACAAGGAAGGACTCAGAGCAGGAGACTGAGAGCTGCTGAGAACGACGAGACCTCAAAGACCTGCAGGAGAAAGGAGGAGAAAGATCAACTGAAGAGGAGGACATTTGTGGACGTCCAGGAACAGGAGCAGGAAAATAAAGCTCAACCTGCTGCTCCCCCAGTCGGCTCCTCCTGCACTGAAGGAGGCGCTGCAGTGTGGCAGGCTGCGGTCCAGCAGACTATCGTCCAGCCGAAGACTGACCCGGGGCATGTTGATAGGAGGGGCGGGGTCTATATGTTGAGGCTCCTCCCACACTGACAGCAGGAGGGAGTAACTGGAGCTACAAGAGATGTCACATTCAACACCAATGATTTTCACCAATGAACTCATTTCTTTGCCACACCAGGATCCATTGAACAAATGCAGTTTTAATAAGCAGGACCACTGCTGCCTCATGTGGTAAGTTTGTGTAACAGAACCCAGGACTTAGATTCAGTATTGGAGGTCACAGCAGATAAAAACTTTTGTGTCCCTCTGAGCTCAAACCAGTGATTTTCTCAATGGACTTTGGTGTGGGAGAGACAGTAAATAGTCCAAAACAAGTTAACACAAAGTTAACAGTTAAAAAAAAAGACGAAAAACCGGATAAGTCTCTCAGATCGAACGCGCACACGTGTGTGTGTGTGTGTAGAAGTATTGTGAGAGTGAAGATACACACAGATCAGTCCAGCCCCAGCTGTGCAGGTCCACGTCCTGGTCACCCATAACACACATAGTGGAAATACACATCCCACCGGTCCAGAGGCCTGTGCACGCACACACAATCTTTCATTATCAACAGACAAACAGTGGCAGCAGGGTTCAAGTTCACCTTAAAGTTCCAACTTCCTGCTGGAGGTTTGGGTCAGTGCGCAGCTTAGACTCCACCCACAGGCAAAGAAACATGACACACAAACACACACACCTGCCCTTAATCCTTTGGCTCAGATCTTTCCCCGTTTCGTTGCTTTTATTCCAGCAGGCTCTTGTTTGTCACCAAAATCCATAGAGATTTTCCACAACTTTGTGTCAAAGCAAAGCAAAGTTTTGTAAAACACTACATTCGCAATGCCACACCTGAACACACCAACACAGTCACCATTTAAATTCAACAACTTCAAAGTGCTGGTTCACTTCACTGACTTTGGTTTGGAAAGAGAAAAAAACCAAACAAATTAAGACTCAAGACGACAAACAGCCAGAACAAAGTCAACTTTTCATCGTCTAATGACATTTTTCAAGCTTTCCAATGCAGCTGTTAGTATTCCCAACAGTTCCTATGCTGGTTCCTTGTCTTTGGTACGAGTTCCTTAAGTGGAATTGCATCACATTTATGGTCCAAATGTCCTGCTTCTACCTCCACTAGTACAGATGTACGTGGAAGCCCATACATTACGAACAATAACAAAGAAAATAATTAAACAACATCCAAAAACAGTTTACAACAATAAAACTACTTGTTTATTTTTTTTTTTTGATTGTGGAGAACTTCAGGCAAAACCGCGTGTATTCCCTCGTGTTTCCGGTTCTCTAATGAAACTGTGGGAGTTCAGCCAATCCTTGCCGTCGTTGACAAATCAAAACCTGCTCTGGGTGGAGCCCCGGGAAAACAAACGGCGAAATAGCCAGCTTTAGGTTACAACTATTCAACATTGTAATGTATGAGAGATGCTACGTTCACGGAAAGTAAAAAATAAATTAGAACAATACAAAGATTATCACCTGTGTTGGAGAAGCGCTTTTCTTCTGTTAACCTAGCATCAGCTAGTCAACGCGACGTTTCGCAGCCAGCTTCCTGTTAGCATTCGCGGTTTTACTGACGGTCCAGTTTAAATCTGAACAGTTTCCCCGACAGACTTCGGCCCCGCAAATTATAATCTTTTCAACGGCACAAGCACCAGAGCTCACCTGACGTCAAACACACGAATTATTCCAAATCATAACGGTGGTGGTTTTATACAGACGCTGCTGATTAGCACCTCAAGAGGCGGGAGGAGCGAATAGCAGAAAAAAGACAAAAATGACAACAAAATGTTGTTGATTATTTATGTTTAAAGTAATTATACAGGTCTTTAAAATAGTCGAACTTAAAGAAATTCTAAACTCCACAATTTAAAATAAAGACATGTTACACAAAATTATAAATATATTAATATAACATGACTGAATATGAATTTACATTAAGTATAGTGATGAGCTCAGTAGTGAATTATCGACGTAAAATAATAAAGCTATCAAAACAGATCAGCAAAAAGAAAGACCAAAGATTAGCTAAAGAACATTGGAAAATTCTGGAAAAGATCACAAATCTCTCTGAAAGTGTGAGAGAACTCAGAAGTTCAATGGTTAAAACTGTGTGTGTGAGGATCAGCACGAAGCTGCACCTCCTTCCACCTCCTCACTTTTTTATGAATGAGTTGACGTCACAAAGACACGCAGCACCATCTATGACGTCAACAACAACAGGACCCACCCCCACTGCTGCGGGAAAAACCTCACGATCAGAAAAGAGGGAGGTGTCGCTCTTCATGGATCCCCTCCATCCTCCTCCTCCTCCTCCTCCTCATCCTTCAGGGTGCCCTCACACGCCTGAGGATGACTAATCATCCAAGAGAGAGAGGGAGGGAGGGTGAGAGAGGTGCATGTTGAGTGAAGGGAGGGAGAGAGAGCGAGGGAGGATAGAAGCATCAGCAGCAGCATCCTCCTCATCCTCCTCGTCCTCGGTGAACGTGCAAGATGAGAAGCAGCTCCTGGTTCCCCGCCGTGCTGTCTTATCCCTGACCACCTGACAGCATCATCACCAGTGAAGTGGAGCAGGCTAACACCTGGACAACAGAGGGAGTGACTAGCTTTTCATTCACATGTGGAGCAGGAGGATCGGACTAATCCCTGGAAGAAAAGAGGAGGCAGGATGTCGAAGCCCACCGGACGGCTCCAGGCTAATTCCTGAATAACAGAATGAATGACTGAGTGATTGAATGGAGACGGTCATTAGTAGAGTTATTGGTTCTGACTAATATCTGCAGCAGCACTAGCAGTAGCAGGTGCCTCCTCCCAGAACCCAGGACCTGGATTTGGACCCAGACAACGCCCCCCCTCTCCTCATCCTTTTCCACCTCCTCGTGCTGCTGGGACCAGGTTAATCTCTGGATCAGTGGTGTCTGGCATGTTCTGCTTCTGCCTGCAGAGTTCCCTGCTGAAGCTCCAGGCTCTGGAAGTGGACGGCAGCTCCTCACCAGGCGGGTCCCCAGAGGAGAGTCCACCAGTCCTCACCAGCAAGGAGCAGAAGAGCCCCTGTGGGCCCCTGGAGGGCAAGACGCAGGCTCTGTGTCACAACGTCCCCAATGAGGAAGGTAAAGACACCCTGTGTGTACATCTGTGTCAATGTGACAAAATGACTGTAGCTGTATGTGGTACTGACACATGGCTGGAGCTGACTGGGCTGTGAGCGCACCCTAGTGCTGTGTGTGCTGCTTTTAGTCACTGAGGTTGATTTAAAAGAATGACTAAAAAGTCCCAAAATACCAGAGTGATCTGAGAGACGTAGGCTGCAGTGGCTCAACGACCGCCATGTGACGTAAAATCAATGATTTTTTTCCATGAACTCTGGTGTGAGAACCACAGGACTAAACAGCTGGTTCTGAGAGCTGTCTATGAGCCCCAGGGGGCGCTCACAGTCCACCAAGTGTTTGTCAGTTACTCATTCATTCATTTTTTTTAATCCTTTCCAGGGTCGTGAGGGGTGGGGGGACTACGGCCAATCCCAGCAGTCAGGGGCGGGGTTACACCCTGGGCAGTTAAAATTATGATTCTCTAAATGTCATCAGCAGAGAACAGCAGGTCACCTGACACCAAACCTGTCACCTGCAATGGTTTTACTAGAGACGCTGCTGATTAGCGCCCCCAGAGGCTGTAGAAGCATACAGCAGAAGGAAGATCGTTGATGGTGTTTGACATTCATCACTTCCTGTAACTCCTGCGGTGTGTTCATGGCCAACAGAAAAACAGAGTTTTCATTTTTCATCATCATCAGACATCAGTTAAATCGTGAATTGTTTCTTGTGAGTTGGTTCTTATTTTACCCAGCATGCAGCTGTGTTTGTGTGTCTGTGCTATTTATAGCGCAGCAGAGAAAGTGATGGGACGCAGCACGTGCAGAGTCTCAGTGTGACTCTGTGGAAACAGCAGCAAAAATAGTTCCAACAGTTCTTCAAAAAATACCCTGTTATCAGCTGTGTGTGTGTGTGTGTGTGTGTGTGTATGTGTGTGTGTGTGGTGGTGGAGGAAGTTCTTGAGGATCTGTAACTGAAGACAAAGTGGAATTGAACCCAGAACCTTTTGCATGCCTGGCAGATATCCTACGCTGCCCCCTGCAGGGCCGTAGTCTGGAACCTAGATAAAACTCGCTGACGCGTCGTCGTTCCGTCTCTGGGTTCAGACAGAACCGGTGACCTGTGTTGACCCTGGTCGAGACGGTCCTGGTTGTTTGACATAAACAAACACAGTCACACACTCTTGTGTCCTTGCAGAGCTGTGGACGGTCCTGACCAGAACCCCCCAGTCCACCAGGCACCAGCACATCAACACCATCCACCAAGGCCAGCAGCCCCTGACCCCCGACGCAGCCCCGCCTCTCAGTCCTCATCACTCACCCTACTCGCCTCAGGGGAGCAGCCCAGGAGGTGAAGGTGGAGGAGAAGGAGCAGGTGCAGGAGCTCTGCTGCAGTTACTTACAGGGGGCGCTAGTCCTCTGCCGTCGCCACGTTGTTCCAGCCTGAGCCACAGCCTGAGGTTCAACTCTGACCCTGAAACTGCACCGTCGCCGCCCTGCAGTCAGCAGTACATACTGTGAGTCTCTGCCGTCAGACCCCCCCCCCCCCCCCCCCCCCCCCCCCCCAGACCTGTCCACTCCAGTGTCAGACCTCAGTGGTCTTCACCCTATCACACTGGTGTGAATTTGAGCGAGAATGAGTGAATGAATGAGTGAGTGAATGAGTGAATGAAGGTCAGGTTGGTCATGATTTCAGTTCAAAAGCCCTGATTTTCCTTTCTGGTTCTTCATTGTCCTGGACCTGGATCTCACAAGTCTTGGCTTCAGTCCTATTTTCTTGATTTTCTTGAAGGTCTCAATATGTGGGCAATCAAGTTTTCTTGGTCTTTTCTTAGATTGTTTTCTTCTTCTTTTTGATCTGAGTCTTAGAACTGGATTATATTTGCTGGGACCTGAGTCCAGACTGAATGTTACCCATTAAGACTGACTCTCCTGACGTCATACTCTGTCTTCATGTCCAGGTCCCGTGGTCATGGAGACAGGACTCAGGAGTCAGAGGAGGATGAGTTTCCCTCCTCCATCCCGTTCCTCACCCGACACATACAGACCCTGAAGAAGAAGGTCCGCAGGTTCGAGGATCACTTTGAGCTGGAGATGAACTACAAGGTGAAAAAAAACAAAACTTGAAGAGTCCAGGAGGAGGAGGAGTGTCTGTTGATCCTCCAGAGTTAACCTGTGTGTGTGTGTGTGTGTTTCACAGCCGTCTCACAACGACAAATACTCCAACCCAGAGATGGTCAGAGTGATGAACGACCTGGCCAAGGCCCGAAAACAGCTGAAAGGTAAAGAAAACCAGACCATGTGATTGGTTCTTAGGACGAGCAGTACGACTGGTCACCTGTGAAAAAACCTGTGTGTGTGCGTGTGTGTGTGTGTGTTTTCAGAGCTCAGTCTACGACAGTCTGTGTTTGAGTCCAAGGAGCAGGACGGAGGAAACAGTGACATCTGCAGGTAACCACGCACTCACACACACACACAGTTCAACGTTTACGTAGAGCTCATGGATCATCACAGTAACTCCATCCAGACAGTGAAGGATTTAGAACAACAGAGACATCACTACCGTTATTATTATTAAATTAAACCATCTGACTGAGGTGGTGATAAAGTGTCCAGAACCAGAACCAGACTTATTCTCACAGAGTCCAGGAAATGAAAGGCTGTTTTTATGGCACTGAAAACATGAAGAGATTGAGGAATTCTCAAATGTGTGTTGCAGGTCCAGTTTTGGACATCAGGGGGCGTCAGAACACAGACCCACTCTTGAAGAAACAGTGGAGTCGTTATTTCGGAGACTGCGAGAGAAGAGACGAGATCTGAGGCTGCCCGACAACGTCAAGGTGAGGCTCCTAAACCTCCCCCTCTCCTCCCCCCCTCCCCCAGACTCCTTCTCTTTGTTCTCCCATCTTTATGCTTCTTCTTCTCTCTCCTCTTCCTCCAAGTCTTTTTTCAT